TTTTTTTTTTGTTGTTGCAATTTGGCTGGGGCTGGGTTCGAACCTTGGTATATGGGGCTGGCGCCCTACCCACTGAGCCATAGGCACCACCACTGTTTATTTCTTTGTTCTTATTGTGCGCCTTATTGAAGGGCCAGTTCTTTTAGTGTAGGCAGAGCCAGAGTGGGAGTAGGGACAGGCTGACCTGCAGGCAGAGTCCTGAGGGTCTCAGGATGGCCTGGATTTAGCTAGAATCACAAAAGAGAGATGGTCACCTGCAGGGTGGAAGACAGAGTAGACTGAGGGTTTTGCCAGGGAAGAGAGAGGCCAGGGATATTTGTGTGGACTGGGGAGGGCCTTTGAAGGGCCCTGATATGCCCCCTCTTCCCGGCCCATTGCCCACAAAGCTGGCCCGGCCCTGCTGAAGAGCCGGCGGCTGCACTCTAGCGCTGTGTTGGCACTGCTGGCAGATGACCGGCACATCATCTCGGGCAGTGAGGATCACACCCTGGTGGTGTTTGACCGCCGAACCAACAGCGTCCTACAGCGGCTGCAGGTGGGCTCCCTCAGGGACCCAGAGGGGCTGATGGGGGCTGCAACTGACCTGGTCTGGCCTGGCCTGGCCTCAGCTGCCCTGTCCTTCATCCTTCCCATAGCTGGACTCCTACCTGCTCTGCATGTCTTACCAGGAGCCCCAGCTCTGGGCTGGTGACAACAAAGGCCTGCTGCACGTCTTCGCCAACCGTGATGGTTGCTTCCAGCTAGTCCGGGTCTGCCAGGGTCCATTTTTCCCTCCCAGGCCTCCTTCCTGGCCCCTGAGACCCTGGTGGTGTGGGAGGCTAGCTTTGGGAGACCCTTACCTGAATGTCACTTCTCCTTTCTTTCTGCAGTCCTTCAATGTGGGCCACAGGTCTCATATCACAGGTATCAAACACTCACTGGGGGCCTTGTATACCACGTCCACCGATAAGACCATCCGGGTGAGGCTTCTGCCCAGCTTGTGTTCCAGGATAGTCCCTTCTCCCACCCTGTACCCCCACTGACCAGTGTCATGCCTCTTGATCTTTGCCCATTATCCCCACCAGGTACATGTACCCACAGACCCACCAAGGACTATCAGCACCCGAAACCACCATGATGTGCTGAATGGGGTAAGGCCTTGGCCCACAGGCCCTGCCCTACCTGCCTAGAGCACTGCCCTCCTGACTCCTTGACTCATGTTCCTGTGCCCTCCAGATCTGTGCTGAGGGCAACTTGGTGGTAGCTGCCTCTGGGGGCCTGTCACTAGAGGTCTGGAGACTGCAAGCCTGAGCAGGTGGACATGGACTTGTTGATGTGGATACTGCCAGCCAGCAGGCTGAGTCTCAGCCGCTGTTCATAGGGGACCTTCCCCTGTGTTGGTGCTGCCTTTGACCCCACTCTGCAGGCCCAGGGCACAGAGTCCAGGCCATGACCAGATGGTGGTGGGGGTGTCTGGGCTGGGCCCCATGCCTGTGGAGGTGAAGTTAGGATTCTGGCTCACCTAGGGAGCTGTTTCCCATCCTTGAGCCATAGTATTGCCACAATTTGGATGCCCCACACTCTGTTGAGAGTGAAGGAGAAATAAACCTGACTGATGTGTTGGTACATGGGCCTGGAGTGTGGTGAATGTGGCATGGCTTGGGGCTTGGGTGCTGCAGGTGGGTGTGAGTATGAGCAGGTGAGACAGTGTGACAGGGCTGGGGTGCACATTTCAGCCCTGATGTCCATATATGTTTGTGTCTTTGAGGAAAAAGAAAGTCCTGAGGACCATGGCACCTGTGTATGTGATATCACTCTATGTATGTGAGACATGTGGCTCTTGTGGGTGTGAACATTATAACTCGAATGCTGGACATGCGTCTATGCAGTGGGAGTGAGGGTGTGGGAGAGGGCCGGAGGGGCTCCAGGGTGTAAGCACTGAGCGGCTGTGACCTTGGAGGCCCTGCCCCCTTTAAGCCCTCAGAGACCCACCCCAGTCCCCATCTCAGCCCGGACAAGCCACACTCTGGGGAGCATTCACCTCATGTTTATTGAGATCTCCTGGTTTGGGGAGGTCACAGGGTGACAGTGTTGTGGGGTCATAGGATGGCACAAGGCTTCTTCTCCTTGAAGGGGTTGGTGGCAGCTGGGATGCCCACGAGGAAGGGGTCACTCTTGGCCTGCTCCATGCAGAACTGGAGCAGGTCGGCAGCTGCCTTGGACACCTGCAGACCAAGCCAGTCATCCATCTTGGCCCACGTGTGCCCACCTCATCTCCCTGCTGTCCATACCGCCCTGACTTTCACCTTCACTCGTTGGATGCCTGCCTCCATCCGCAGCTGCTCCACTGCCTGGCGGGCCTGCCCGATGTCATTGCCAACAGCCACCTTTCCAGACATCTGGGGAGGAGTGGATAGGATTTTGGGCAGTGGACCCAACCCCAGATCTCTAGGGGAGCCTAGGGCTGCCTAAGGGTCTTCACACTTCCTCCCTTGTCCTCTGGGGGCTATAGGATGGGAGTGCTGTGCCCAGGGCTTTGTCAGGCCCACGTACCTTAGTTGAGGACTCTCACCAAAGCTGCCTGGCTGCTTGATTCTCTGGTGGCCACGCTTCTCTGGCTTCTTCCCCCATACAGGCCTAGCTTCCCCAACCCCCTCTTCTCCTTCCCCTGTCCCCACAGAGACTTTGAAGGCAGGATGCTCATGGAGTGAAATGTCACCAGTGGCAGCAGCAGCAGCTGCCTCAACCAAGGAGGTCCCTGTCCCAGGAGGCCCTGTGGCTGCCCTGATGTCACATGTCACCTGAGTCCCTATGAGCTGGGCGCTTGGCTGGGGGAGTGAGGAGACCTAGCCTCTCTCTGACCTGCTGGATCCCTTGCCAACTGTCCCCAACATGCCAGCCTCTGCCACTCCTGACATGTAGTATACCCACACTTAGGGCACAGCCTGACCTTTCCTTCTCTCTGTCTTCACTGCCTGAGATCTCACCTGCAAATGAGACTCAATCCACTCATTGATGCTGATGGATTATGTTTCCCCCAGACTTTCTGACCCCAAATAAATTTTGCCACTCTGTACCCAAGTGCTTGGGCCCAAATCTCCAACTGCTTCATTCTATCTCAAGTGCCATCAGATTAGCCTTCAAATAGATGCCCAATGGGGTCACTTCTCTCACCATTCATACCCCCATCTTGGCCTACCTGCATCAGTACAATGACCTACTAATGGCCTGGCCACCAGCTTCCCCCCTGCTCTGCCACCACTCTCCTTGCTGTTCTCAAGCCAGCCAGTGGGATCTGTTAAAAAAAAATCTGGCTCAGCGCCTGTGGCTCAAGTGGCTAAGGCGCCAACCACATACACCTAAGGTGGCGGGTTAGAATCCAGCCCGGGCCTGCCAAACAACAATGATGGCTGCAACCAAAAAAATAGCCGGGCATTGTGGCAGGCACCTGTGGTCCCAGCTACTTGGGAGGCAGAGGCAGGAGACTCGCTTGAGCTCAGGAGTTGGAGGTTGCTGTGAGCTGTGATGCCACAGCACTCTACCCAGGGG